TGTGGGGGTGGGGGGGCCTCCGTGCTTTGGCTGGGCCCAGGGGCCTCCAAAGTCCATCAAGTGAGAAATAGGGGTGGCAGTGGTAGCATCGACAGAGGAGGAGTCCTTTCAGTCTTATGGTTTCAAGGGGATAGGGAATGCCTCTACCAGGTAGGCCCCTGGGATTTCCCCCTGCTTGGGGGTGAGGAAGCTGGGTGGGGTCACTGTCCATAGGATGGACAGTGATGTCACATGGAGAAGGCCCCTCCCCTGGGGGCTAATCCTGCTGGGAGAAGCAGCCCATCCCTCCCTCCTTCCCTCCCTCTTCTCTGTGGCTGGAAAGACCCCAGAATTTTCTTCCCCGACTGCATCCCATCCAGCACCCTCAATGCTGAGGGGAGGGTGGCCCCAGGGCTGCCATGGCTTCAGATCTCTGCTACGTGGCTACTGGGTGGCTGGTGGGGCGTGGGGGCCAGGTGAGGGTGGCCCAATTGCGGGGCCCAAGGTTGCCAGGAGCTGGCCAGGGGTCCCATAGCAGCACCAGAGAGGGGAGAAATAGGGCGGTGGGTGGGGGGGCCTCCCTTGGGAAGCCTAAGGAAGGGCAAGCTGGTGCCTGGGGGGCACAGAGCCATCTGCTCCTCTTCCCAGCACTTGCCATCCCATAGGGCTCCTCACAGCTGGGCCAAGTTCACCAGAACCCCAGTGGGCAGGTGTGACCCCGCCTCCCCACCCCAGCGTTGCCCCATCCAGAGCGGGACTGTGAGGGGCAGAGGGAGGACCTGAGGCACTTTGAGGAGGGGCCAAGGGGCGGGGCGGGCCTTGCTCCTCTGTGGAGACTGGAGTGGGTGACTGACAGGAACTCGGGCCTATGCACGCGGAACATGCAACTTGAAGGGACAGCTTCTCCCAGACGCCCAGGGACAGCTGAGCAGGAAGTGGTGTGGGGAGCAGGAGCAGGCAGGAGCTTCTGGACTCAGTATCCCCGGCTCCCGCGTCCCCTCGCGCTTTCTGGCCTCAGTGGGTGAGGCTCGACCCACACCCTCCGGAGTCTGAGCTCCTCCCGCATGGCTCCCTCCCCCCAGGCCGTGCCCCCTCCACATTGGTGCCGCTCAACCTCTCACTCGGGGACCCCAACCCTGACCCCAAGGAAATGCGTTGCTAGAACTCGCTAGGTAAGGAG